CAGATGGCTGCTGTACATGAACCCCTTGGATTTCATTCAAAAGCTTGGACTCTGTAAAGACTGCTGAATTTTTAGGCTTAGCAGTCAGACTGTAACTGTAACTAGTATGTAGGTACTGATGCTGGAACACAGGAATCAAATTTTATTCTCCTGGATCCATTTTAATTCCCTGTTGGAAATATATTTCGTCCATCTGTGCATGTTGTGAGCATAATTTGAAAATAAGTGTGGTACCGACTTCCATTTTGGAATGAGGCTGCATCTAGGCATAAGAACGCTTCCTTTCAGAAACTGGGTTGCCACATCAAAGTCCGTGATGGTCACCACCACCACATACTGTATATGACTGGGGTGGCCAAGGATTAATCTGTGGTGGCTAAGGCCACCATTGCCCCCCCCCTCCCCCCCTGGCTTCGTTATGGTGCCTGATTGTGGAAAATATTGCTCCCTCCACTCACCAGGATTCATCACTGCTACAAGAAAAAACAACTCCCTCTGTTCTTCTACACAGTGAAACTCCTTTACTTGTATTCCCTGTTCAATTACAGTCCAGAAAAACACACATCTGGAAATCCATCCATCCATCCATCCATCCATCCATCCATTATCTTTACCCGCTTATTTCATTTTGGGTCACGGGGGTCGCTGGTGCCCATGTCCAGCAATCACTGTGCGAGGGGCGGGGGACACCCTGGACGGGTCGCAAGTCCATCACAGGGACACATAGAGACAAACAACACAAACAACCATTCACTCTCTCACCTAGAGACAATTTAGAGTTACCAATCAGCCTAACATGCATGTTTTTGGTCTGTGGGAGGAAACCGGAGCACCCGGAGAAAACCCACGCATGCACGGAGAGAACATGCAAACTCCACCCAGAAAGGCCCCGGGACTGGGATTTGAACCAAGGACCTGCTCGCTGAGAGGCAGCAGCTCTACCAGTTGCACCACCGTGCTGCCTCATCTGGAAATCGACAAACATTATTCAAATCTCTCAGCAACAGGGATATTGGTGAATTACTTTTCCTTTTTAGTTAATAGGTATTAGTTAGTAGCAGGGGTTATCAGCTACTTCTGACCCCCCGGCTAGCTACACCTGGAGACAAGCTATGGCTAAGCCTCCAGTATACTCGCGTGTACGTGGGTCCGTGGAGGTCCTTGCAAACCAGATTGGAGTCGAAGCAGACACCCGCAGGGCATGTCCATGCAAAGCTCAATTTTTACGAGCGCACATGCGTACTCGGTGTCGCACAATAAACTGCCCGGCGATGGACTGTTTTGTATGCAACACCAACGTATTAATAAAATGTTCTAAAAAAAACAGGGAGCGCTGGCCTTGCAGCCCACACATCAGACCAGCCCATCAGGAAATCTCCAGACCCTCCTGCAGCCACGCTGGACATGATTTTAATTCGCTCGTGACAAATTCCTTCATTTCTCACCATTTCAGTCATGGCATCAACGAACAAGGAGGAAGAGATCGCTTGTCTCTTGGAAAAAAATACAAAAGAAAAGGCCATTAAACCAGATCAGGGATGAAGAAGGGGAATTTGACAACATATAAACACACCGCTGCAGCTGCCAGCTCTCCTTTTTTATTTTTTATTTTTTGTGACCTGTCAATCAATCCAGTAGGCGTGTCAGCAAATGACCAATCGGCAATTTGTCCTGAAGGTAAACGCCCCTTGCCTGTAGAACTGACTACAGCCGGTCAGGGTGGACGTTTGAGTATAAAGTCTCAACCCTCTGCAGATGGTGCACACAGTTTCCGCGTGGCTGACAGGACGTGCGAGTGTACTGGAGCCTATCAATATGTCCTGGTGTTATCTAACATATCCAACTCCTGAATGTTTCTACGTCCAGGGATCAGTGATGGTTCTAATGAAATGTGATACCCAGAGGAATCCTGTTTTATATCCACAGGGTGAAGTTATGTCTGTAACTGTCTCTGAGACTTCTGCACCTGTCCACAGGGGTTCAGGTCCACCTGTCCACAGGGGTTCAGGTCCACCTGTCCACAGGGGTTCAGGTCCACCTGTCCACAGGGGTTCAGGTCCACGCCTCATGGTGAAACTGCTGCAGCTGTCTCAGGTGTGAAGGATTCTTCCAGATGTTTCCACTCCTTCCACAAATCTTTAACAGAATCGAGGGCTCAGGAGGCCACTTCAGAACAGTCCAATGTTTGGTTCTGATACATTCTTTGGTTGTGTGTCTTGGGTCATCATCCTGTTGGAGGACCCATGACCTGTGACTGAGACAAAGCTTTCTGACACTGGGCAGCACATTTCACTCCAGAATGTCTTGATATTTCATTGCACGCTGCACAGATTCAAGACCCCCGGTGTCAGATGCAGGACAGAAGCGAGCCTCCTCCAGGCTCCACTGTAGCTACAGGATTCTCTTCTCTGCTTCAGGTTGGGCTCTGTGAGCACAGAGCTGAT